ATGAGAGCAGTTCCTGTGGAGTTTGTTCCATCTGCTGCACTCACTGTAGGGAGAGTCCCATACCCCCTCTTACTTTGTCTCCCTGACCCTGGGACAGAGAAGACAGGAAGATTTAAGCCTCCAAGCCCTATGCGTGCAGTGGAGTGATGGCAAGCATAGCAGAGGTGGAGGAACTCAGCACCCATGTGGGGACTTGGGCTTGCCACCACAAGGACCTTGGGCATCTTGTCCACTGAGACAACGAAGCCATAGAGGTTGGCATTTGGACTGCCATTTCTTTTCTCATCTGTTGATCATTTGGGAACCTCATCTAAGGTTTCTCAGGTGTTTGGGTGTGGATGATGCCCCACATTTCATTGTAGACATCCCAGACCTCAAATTTTCTGTACCTACCTGAAACAGGAACCTTTGTGCTTGCCATTGATTCTCTTACCATCTTCCCAGATGATACTTCCTCTACTAGCTATTTGTTTTATTTTTGGTTTCCTTTCAAGAAATGAGACAGAGGGTAACAGAAACATGCTCAATCCCACGTAACCACCCCTTGCAAGGAAGCACACTTGCTTCTCTTTGCCCCCAAAGCAACAGCTCCTGGAGTCAATGACTGCCACTAAGTGGCTGGGGGTGATACATGTGCCAAACCACATCTATTTACAGTGTCCTTCTGCAATGTTGTTTTGTTCTTCCACCAAGACAGCTGCACCACCTCCCTGCCTCTCCCAGTGCTCCCCAGGGTGACACCGAGCAGCGAGGACCATCCAGGTAAGCTGCTGGTCCTGTGCATATGTCACACCACGCAGAGATACCCCTCCCATTCCTGCTGGCAGACAAATTCTGTCTTTTAGACCAGCAATAAGAAGTATTTTGGTTTTCTTTTCCTTTTTTTGAGACATGGCCACTGAAATCTGGGCATTAGATTTCATTTTACTATGAGTCTTTTCAAACCAAGTGAATTCACTTCAAGCTTTCATACTTACAAGTTTTCATCCATCAGGTCTGATGTAGCTCTGCCTGCTTCATCTCAGGACTGAATGGACATGGCACCCAGCTATTTCACTGATGAGCATGTGATATATTAGATAGACAGGTAGCGATAGTGGTGCATGGAATGAAGAATGGCAGGGAGATCAGCCAGGCATTCCTTTGGTTCTTTTGCTCCAATGAAACATAAAGATGCCTCACGGTGAAATTAAGAAGTTACACATCCTAAACTGCTGGAGTTTTCCACATAGCTCACCATTAACCCTTGGGAGTCCTTGTCACAGGGGTGTGAGGCAAAGGGCCACTGGCAGGATGGATTTGCAACAAATGCCACTGGTGAGTAGAGCCAAAGGTTCCCTTGTCCTTTGCTTGTAAGACGCGTATGAGCCCTATATAGGGTGAGAGATCAGTTCTCTTCCTTCTCTTTCAGTGGCAACTCCCCCTTACCAGTTGCTCCTAACAGAGCTTTGCAATTACCCATATCTGCTGCTCTCCAGAAGAACTGTGTCTCTTATCCCCCTCGCCCTTTCCAAGAACAGACTTTGAGCCCTTACATGCCACTATATAAAAGCTAATTTCAAAAGTGTCCTAGGACACTCCAGCCTCCTGTTCTCCAGGGCTGCGAGACCCTGGTTTGTGCCCAAGCCCAGTGAAGAGAATTAGATGTTGAGGGACCTACTGTAAATGCCAGTCTTGGTATCACTGCTCCTCGCTACTGAGCGGAGGGATCTGGGGCTGGCATCAGCAGGAAGTGATTTACTTTGTGCCTTCATGAATTTAGACACTGTAGTCAGCCCCCTGAATCACCCAACTCACAAAAAAAAATAGAAATGTCATGTGAATATTGAGACCATCTCTATCTTTGAAACAAACACAGGTGAATGCTCCCAGTCTTCTACTGCAGCAGCCAAGGAAAGCCCCAGCTTCCCTGTATGAGGAAGAAAGTTGCTACTTCATGATACTATCTAAAAATGGCACGTTGTGGGGGTTTACCTCTAGCTCCCTCTGCCTCGCAGTCTAACACTGAATAATATCAGCTTTCTTCATCATGATACACTCATTTTTCCCTTCTAATTTACATCAGTGGAGGATTTCTAGGAATTAAAAACAGAGACATTTGTGGACATCTGAAGCTGAACACAGGCTCTTAAAAGATAATAACAAAGTTTGACCCTCTGCCCATCTCTAATTGTAATTTAATTTTGTTTCACATTCTCATTTAACAGTAAGCATAAATAATATCAGTTGTACAAAATACATTTTTAAAGCCCATTTGACTCCACTTATTTGTTCCAAACTCTCAACCTACTACTGTTCCATGCAGCAACAAACTATAAAAGATAAAAAAAAAAAAAGTGCTAACTGCTTTTTTTTTTTTATGCTGGTCTAGCATAATCTTTATTTCTTTAGACACTTTGTGCAAACATTAAATTGATAAAAGACATAATGTAGATGGACTCACAGCTGAACTGAAGGTAATTGCATAAAAATGAAATGGAGACCTATAATTGTACACTGCTTTAGCCTCTATGGCACTGTTTTCTGGAAGCAAGGATCTCGCTTGTCATAGCAAGTTGCTTGTTACGGTGATTGCATGAAGACTTGATCTAGCTGTACAAGACAAGTATAACATTACTTAAAGGGAGCTTTTCAAACTAAGAGTCTGACACTAAAATGTACTGTATTTTCAAAGATGTAGTATGCTTTAACAAACAGAAGAGTCCTTGAATGACAGCTTTTGTTACCCTTTTGTTTGATGGTGCTGTATTGAAAAATTCAGGTTATGTCTATGCTTTTCTATTTCTGGTTTTGATTTCTCTTCAACAGCACTTCAAGAATAAAAATTGACTCGAAGCATGAATAGTAGAAGTCGGTGGATACAGTAAATGTTAGTCTGGCATTTACTGATTACTTGCGTCTGATTTCTTTCAGTCTCGTTCATTGTATGCTTAAATGCATTCCGTGGGCCATTGTATTGTTGCAGAAATGGGGAACTCAACAGATATATTGCAATTTAAAATATATCCGGGTTTAGACTTTTGGGCCAATTTTGAAAGTGGAAAATGGTAGAAATCATCATGCTTGCCTAGGCCTTTCAATCTGATCTGTGTGTATTCAACTGCTCAGCCAGCGTGCAACTCTCAGCCTGGACAGACAAGATCCATTTGTGAGATTGCCACCTGAGTAACAGGTGGGGCCTGTGTCTTTTGGACTCACAAATCAATTATTATCCAATAAATCCAATGCATAAGCGGGACGTTGCTTCCTCCAGACCTCTGCTACTTCAATTAGCACAACTTTTCCTGGAGACAGTATGTTATTGAATGAAAGTGCAGGAAAAATTATGGTATGTCATTGATTTATGAACACTGGAAAACGTGGTTACTATACATGTAAGTACATCCCAAATGCATGAATTTTCATATTTTGGGACTCAAGAGGATGGCCAAGAACTCACTGGAGGGGAAAAAAAACCTCTATATTTACTTACTCTGGGGAAAAAATCACAAATAAATTATCAAAGATGGGCAAAATCAGACATGCTTTTCCCAGGATGTTGGTTTCCTATGACCAAGTGTGCAACGTGCAGGCAAGCACCACTGTGCTTTACGCTGCCCAATTCACACCCGGAGGAGCCTCTGCCTCTCCTGCCCTTCCCAAGTCTCACCCGTAACTTTCCTTCATTGTTAACATTCACAAAACCTGACAGTTATAGGTTTCTGAGACTCCTGTCTGTGTCACTGCCACCTCACTGTCTCCTTCCCTCCACTTCTCTCTACCCCACCGGTTGCTCCCTGCCTAAGGCCAACCTGTAAACTCTCCAGGACAGGGAAAAACTGCATTTCCTTCATAGTAGCGTTTGTCATTATTACAAATTCAAAATCAAGCCCAAATATCTGCCAACACACATTTTTAAAGCAGCAATTTGAAGTTAAAATGAAAATGATAGCTTTTTATCCTCTCCCAAGGTCTTGCTCTGCTAACCTCTACCCAGCTTTTCTGCTTCTACGTATTTCACCACGTGAAGATGACTTAAAATGGCATGAGATCTGATGATGACTACAAATTTAAATTAATTGCTCACTCATTCTGTAAGTGAATAGAATCATAAAAATCACACAAAAATTAGCTCGGAAGTGACTTGTAGAACTCACACCGTTTGGCCTTTGCCTCAAACCAGGGCTAACTCTGCAGTGAGAGCAGGTTGCTGGGGTCTGTGCCCAACTGGGCTCTCCATACTTCCCCAGTCTCACCGGCAGCTGCCCCAGTACTTTACACCTCCCATGATGAAGGATTTGTTCCCATACACAATCACAGTTACCTTTGCTGCAGCTTGTGACAGTGCCTCTTGTCCTGTTACCTCTGTGCGCTGCTGGGAGGAGTTGGGGTCTGGTTTCTCCATTACCCTCATCATGAAGTGGAAGACAGCATCCAGCACCATTCCTTGCCTTCTCTTCTCCAGGCCCACCAAGCCTAGCTCCCTCAGCCTCTCCTTATACATCAGATGCTCCAGACCCCTCAGCACTTTGGTGGCCTTCACTGGACTTGCTCCAGATACCAGTTAGACTTCAAATCCTTGCTTCCCCCTGCTTCAAGCCCAATGGTCTCAATGTTTTTTCACCTGCCTTGCAATCCACCCATCCCATTCATATGTTCTCTTTTTGGCTGCAAGGATACCGTGGGGGACGACTGCAGTCTCATCAAAGTTTCACTATAAACCTTTTCTTGGCTTTTTTTTAATATATGTCAGGGGTCAAAGGAACCTGAAAAACAAAAGATAAGTAGGATGTCTCTTCTGGCTCCTTGCAGACAAGTGCAGACTTACTGTTTCTCTCAGAAAGTAATGTTTGCAAAACTGAGGTGTTTGTAAAGATTGATTTTCTTTATATAGCTCAAGAGCAAGCATATCACAAGATTTAAGTAAGATAAAAAGTGAGGCTGTGCATGATGTGAGGTGCAGGAGTTAATCAGCTGTAGATAAGAATTGATGAGGTTTTATCATCCCAACCATAGAGAGAATGACTGTGTTTCTTGGCCTCTTGATCACTTTGGAGAGTAAGTGAAACTGTATATCAACCCATGTTTATCTGTGCCTGAGAAGTTCTTCAAGAATAAATTGAGCTCAGAACTCTTCTTAACCTTTCCCCTAGTTGGGGCTTAAAATTAAGCTTTCCCTCTGTTTTTTGAGCTACCTCTCTGGCACGCTGACAGCACATGAAGTATCCCATCTTCTAGTTGACTTCCAGGCCAACAACACAAGTGTGGATGAAGTTATGAAATAATGAATCTGGATGTTAAACAAAGACCATCTGGCTTTCTATGCTACAGGACTATGAGCCATGGTGAGCTGGCACATCTGCATCCAGGTACCACCTACATTGCTGCAGCCTACATTGTTGGCTGTAAATTTAGGGAAACAGAGCTGCCGTTGAAAAATAACAAGATAAATTTTTTTGCCTTTTTTTATATCTCAAATTGAAGTTAGGCTATCACATTAGAAATAGACATTGACTGAGGCAATAGCTCTGTTCTCTCTCTTAATCTGATCCCAGTCAGTGGGAGTGAATTATTACTTAGCCTCTAAGTCCACTGGGTTTAAGAGAAAACCTTAGAATGCAAGTTTACAAATGCTTATATTATGAATAAGCTTTACTTGCATAAAGAGACTGAAATCATTAGGTAAGTAGGGTTAGGCCTTGGAAGTAAACAACTGTAGGCTTGGAAATTCTGCATATGTTATTCTTTCAGATCTCTGTCTTAGTATCGCAAACAAGTCTTGTCTTTTTTTTTTTCTTAATCCCACCAGATAACCAGCTTACAAATGAAAAACATACAGATGAAAAGCCTATGAAAGGTATTGTTATGAGTTCTGTCGCAGAATTCAGCATCACAGACACTTCATCAAAGGGTACCAAAAATAAGAAGAAATTGTCAGATGTGAGCACATCATCCATCGCTTCCCTGGAGAAATGCAGAGAATTCACTTACATTGAAGATGACGCATCAGTACATCAGAGAGACAGTGACGGTATGTTTTATAAAACAGATCACATTTAAGCTGATTTCTAAATAATGTCCATTGCAAGAGCACTATGTGTATCTAACTTGAAATAAATGCTTACACGCTGAACAGGAGGTTCAAGAGCATAGCCAAAAGCAGCATTAGGTTGCCCTGCAGGCATTTCTGTGATAGATGAGAATCTGTAGAAGGTGATCTTAAATGGTCAGTGATATTAAAGTAATAGAGGAGGAGCTTAGAGCCTATTTGCAACAGAGCATTCGTAGTTTTACATATATGTGCCTTTTGCAATAATGTCTTAGTGTGTTATATCACATGGAGTTGGGATCCATCATATATACGATTTAACAATTCCTAAATTAAGAATTTCTAAATAGAGATCAAGACAATAAACTGCCATGCTCTCCAGGAACCATTGCCATCTCTATTGTATCACAGATCCTGTAATAAAAGGGATGTCTGCAATACATCTATTAGAATACATCTCATTTCAGTGAAGGACCTGAAGTATTTATTTTATTTCGGGACCTTGTCCTCTAGTCCAGACACCCACTGTTTTCTCAGTTTGCTGACTATCTGATCAGGCCCCTCAACCATTACTGGCACACAGGTGTGTACCATGTGATGCAAATAACAGATTTCATACTCCTTAAAAAAGCTAAAAGTGAAGGAAATTAACAAAAAAACCAATCTGTGCTCAATTAATAATGTTAAGGGCTGGATGGAAGCCAAGAAAACCCAAGGAAGCCAGATTTGTGGTTGTCACTGCATACTCTGCTCACTCTACTCTGACAAGTTACTGCTTATTCCACACACACGAGGCCAAATCCTGTTTGCTGGTGCATGGAGAACCTCTGAGTGATAACTGAGGAAAACAGTGATTATTTTGCTCCCTGCGTTCAGGGAGGAGTGGATCCAAAGCTCACAGGTCTCACCAAGGGTCATCACTGTGGCTTCAGTGAACTTTGGACCAGGTTTGCTCAGAGCATCCTCGGAGCGAGCAGAGAGGGAGCTGAGAGCCACCAATCAAAAGCAAGAAAATGTAAAGATGAGGCAGGCTAGCTAAATTATTAGAAGTTCTTCTTTTGTGCTAATTAATCTACTAATGTAGAGAATGAGAGCTGAGGTCGTTGTTCTCACTGAGATGAATGCAGTAATGCCATTTAGCAAACAGCAGGGAAAACAGAGTAGAAAACAGGAGATTGCATCTTCTTTTATGCAGTTTGTGGCTAATTTATTTTCAAATATATAAATGAATGCATAGGAATGGATGTTTAATTGCTAATATCTATTATTTATATACATTACCCCACTTAAAACAGGACAAAAAAGCCTCACACATGCAGATTTTTCGAAATGTGTTACATCCATTATCACAGTTCATGGTGTGTGCTCTGATGGGAATTTAAAAGCATCTTTACTGCACATCACAGACTCTGTGCTGAAACATTACTTTATTATTAAAATCTTGTGCTTTTTGTGTGCTCTCTTTCCTGGATGAAGCCCTAAGAATTGTATCTATTCTCTCCAGATTACATAAGCACCTTTATGGTTAACATATTCAGGAAGAAGAACCTGTTATTAGAAAACAGATCTTTGAAGACGAAAAAAAATGGAAAGATCCTTAATTGTTATATAATTTTGCATTTCATCTCTCACATCTATGTATAGAAAGAAAATTTCATAAACATAAGATTTCTAAAAAGAATAGTCTTAATTACACCAAGGACTACTGGATAAAATGATTACATTTTTCTACAGTGTAAATTTCATACAATTAAGTGCAGCAGTGTCACCTTATAAAATGTTTCAATTTTATAATTATTTCAGTTCATTTAGTTAGAAAAAAATAAAAGCATGAATTTACTAAGTATCACTGAAATCTAGTCATTCTTATTCTACAGAACTTAGAAGTTAGTTGTGCTTGTCTGAACTTAAATAGATCTTGACATATTTAAATAAGTATTAAAATTGATAACATTGGTGACGATACGCTGCTCAGAAAGAAGTTCAATCACATGCTATTTATTCTTGTTACCTGCTTTAACTGCCTTTTTTTTTTTTATCAAGAAGCTGGAACGATTTTTTAATTTTGTTTTTTGTCAAGAAAGCTTTCTTAAAAAGAAAAAAAAAAGAGCATAATTCTGGAATCTTCCTGGCAGTGAACTTTATGTTACGTGAGATAGAAAATGCCACAACAGAACCAATGCAGTTGAATGAGTTCACAGTTAGTCATCCTAGGGCAAGAAATGTGGTTATAACCATATGTTTTCCTGAAAGAACCAATGAAAAGGCATTCATATTGTTGAAGGCATTTTTTCTTTCCAAAAAACAAGGAGGGAAAAAAAAAAATAAAATTGAAAGGTCTGGGTCTTTGCGCTCCAACTGGATTCACACCGTCAGAATCTCACACCTGCTCCAAGCCCTGCTGCACCCGGAGGCAGCCTCCCCAGATGCTGCAGATTGAACCGTGGGGAGTTAATTAGTTGGTTTTTGAAGGGAACAAATATAACACAAAGTTTTTGCCTCGGTGACCAAGTTTTCAGGAATATTCACTTGCTCCGGACACACACCCTAGCGGATATTATTTTCCAAAATTTTGTCCCCTTTCAAAAATTAGCAAGCCTGTGAATGAAAAGGCGAGGAACCCTTTTTGGTGGGGAAGCAAAAGGACCCAGGGCTGAGGTCAGCACACTGCCCCCTGAAAATGCTGTTCTCCAGACCTTCTTTTCCTCCCTGTCTTTGGTCAGGCAATCTAGAGGTCATGAAACAATTTACTGAAACAGAATACTTATAGAAATTGAACTATAAGCAGGTGATGAATCTTTACTCTTTTTTTTCCCCTTTCTGGGTAGATTTTCCCCTGTGCATGTGGCAGTCCTTATCCAGATGCCACATCGAATTCACGAGCCAGGGACACACTATCCCATGCATCCAGACTGACCGTGTAGAAAAGTAAGAGCTGGACCTGGGGAGTCTGAGGGCCTGACCCACTCTCCAAAAAAGCTTTGGGTGTTTGCACACCAACTTCCAGCAAGGACTGATTTGGACCATAACAGACATACAGCCCAGAAAGGAAAGGTTTAAATAAGAGGGATTCAGTTCTGAAACGACAGATTCAGTTCTGAACTCTTCATATGCAGGCAAAAAAGTGTCCCTGAAAGGTTTTGGGGGTTTTTTTGTTGACTTGTTTTTTTTTTTTTAATTTTTTGCCTTCCTAGAAATAGCAGGAGCAGCCTGATGATTTTTATCTTTAATTGCAAACTTTTGTGGAAAAGAAACTGCAATGTCTCACGTGCATTGGTCAGGTAGCACATGTGGCACCACAAAGCACTTTCAAATGCCTGCAAGGCTGCAAACCCCCCAGCAGAGCATCCCTGTGCTGAAATTTATAGCCCAAACATTTTAGTAGTATAGAATCACAGAACAATTTAGGTTGGAAAAGACCTTTAAGATCATAGAGATCAACCAGAAAGTTGGTTCAGAGCACTTGTTCCTCTGAATTTCACTGCCATAGAACATTTTCATTCAAATTATTTTCATGCTGCTCTTGTTTTTCCAGAGCAAACAACGCTGAAAATAAATCCTTTCATTTGACTTTATGGAAGTAGTTATCATCAATGTATTTTTAGCCTGCCCTGTGTGCTGTCTTGCATCTCATTTCTGTGTAGTCAGACTAGCCTGAGCCTGGGTAATTAAGCACTCCCTTTTTTCTTATGTCTCACTGCTTTTCCTTTTTCTCAGATGAATGTGCAACGCTTATCCTGGCCTGCTTGTTCTGCCAATTTTGGGACTTTCTTATAATGCTGCCTGATACCTGTGAACATTGGCTGATAGATACCTGTTGTCCATCCAATAGATACTACCAGACTTCCAACGAAGACCATGCCAACAACGACTGCAACTGTGACTGTGACATTGATTGCAGCCTTTTTGAGTCCTGCCACGAGACTGGTGAATGCCTGGAACTTGCCATGGAGATTTCTGAAGTCTGCTACCGCTAATAGGAAAATAAGTGACAAAATTCCTCAAAACTGCCTGAAAGGGAACTGACAGAATACAAAGGAGGGTGTTTTGGTGGTTTTGTTGTTTTTATTTTTAAAAATAACAATAATAACCAGGGGGTTTGCCAACCAGGACTATGTCCATCAATCTGCTCCCATCCTGGAGGTCTGTATATCTGTACCATTCTGGTTGTATGATTTCACAAACTGCTGAAACCAATAAAGGGCAAAAAAGGGTCTTCTCCTTTGCCATAAATGACAACAAAATTCCTAAGTGCCAAGTGTGCTTGATGCTTTACCCGCTGTCAATCCAAGACATTTATAAACCTTTAATTGCTTTAAACACGGATTTCCCCATTCATAAACAGAGGACAAATTAGGACATTATTTTAGGACTGATATATATTAGTTCATCTTCCTAATGGATTCATACCTAAACATGTATTACACGTTGTTGGTTATTATTAATAATGTATGATATAGCATCATTTTATAATTAAAAATTTATTTATTCAATCTCTTAAAACACACTTATATGCTCAGTTTAGGTAGAAAAGAAAATTAAATGAATTAGAAACCATGCTAGCGGTAATTACAGCAAATGCCTCTAAAAATCTCCAGTGAATTTTGTAGAGGAAGCATTTTAACAGGGTAGTGCAATTCGACAGTGTATTAATGCGTGTGCCTATGGTTATGTAATAACAGGTTATGCCTATTGTTCATTAGTTATAGGAAAGGGCTCCTTAAGTGTAATTAGCCTAAATGGGAATTGACTGCACACTTCCAGAGGAGAATTACCCCGTGGATGGCCAGCAACTCCTTTGCCTGATTTTCCTTTGTAAGATTTCTGCAAGCAGCAGAGTATTGCCACCTATTCTAGTGGAAACAGCCATCTCCACCTGAGCACAAAAGACTGCAAAATGACAGTATCTATCCTGGTTGTGCTTTCAAACTCCCTCTATCTCTTTTCTGATGGCAGGTCTGATTAATAAAGAGGAAATACATATTGCACATTACACATATGACAACAAAAGCATGTAAATTCAGCTGCCTGAGGGTGCAGAACACAGGTATCAAGCACAGAGGAAAATACAGATATGCTTGCTCACATTTGATGTTTATACAGTAACACCAAAGACAGTGTTTGCTTTGTATAGACACTAAAGCTTCTCCCCAAAACCCCACTGAGCTCAGTGCAGAAGTGCCTGGGGAATCCCAAAGAAGAATCCTGGACAAGATGCTGGGATTGCTGAAAGCATTGAAGCCACTTGTTTAATAAACTGAACTTCAAATCTGCAGTCCTGACCCATGGATATTTAATGGAAACAAAAATTCATGTGAATTTCCTTTCTTTCCCCCGCCCCATCTCTGAAAAATTTACATTTAAAAAAAAATAAATCAGAAAGTAAGAAGCCAGTAGAACTGCTAGTGATCTTTGTACAGGTACCCTTCAAAGCTGAGTGACCTAAGGACAGCAAACTTCAGAAATGCAGTGAGCAGCCCAGCATACCTTGTTTCTGTGCTCCTTCCAGGACACCAGTGGGGAGTAAAAGAGGCTTCCTTATTTTAATTGTGTCATCACATTGCAAGTTGTAGCCACCTAAAGGAACAAAGTCATTAGTCCTTAATTGCTACACCTGCTCTAGGCTGCTGGCTGGGTCTGGGCCCAAGCCCAAAAAGCACTAACCACCACCACCTGGGAGGCACTGGTTTGACACACCCTGGACTGGACAATGCTGAGTTTTAATGCCCTGGTTTGCACTCTCCAATAGATTTTTGGTCTTAAATCTCCCAGTACTGAGACTCATGACTCTCAGTGCATCGAATCAGGCCCTAGAGGCTTGGATCATTCCACTTTCTACCACACCTTGTTCTTGAAAAAGTGGCAAAGGGGCCTCTATGAATAAAAATATTTACCCAAAGCATTTAAGAGTCAGAAAAGGAGAAAAATTGCCCTGTATGCCATTTCTTTGAGAAGTACCAATAGAGATGCATGTTGGCAACCTTGCTCTTGATGCTGCCATCCAAAAGGGAAGAGTTCACATGCAACGGCTGGAAGGAGCCCAAGAGAGGACACCAGAGGGTGGCATACCCCAAAAGGCTGCCTGTAAGGGACCCAGAGGTGGGGAACCAGTATGTCTTGTTCCAGCTCTGAGCCTGCAAAGTAATTCACTATTCTGGGATTACCCATGGCAAGTGAGGTCTCCATGTATTTTTTTCCCCAACTCTTTTCCTAGGAATCATTATTCAAAAGGGCTCTTTTTGGTGGTGTAATCCACAGGTTGGCAAACTGAGGTCACGTCTACTGTAGGACATGGGTACGCTCAAAGACAGAATTACAATGGTGGTGGCCATAACCATGGCTAGACAGGATGTCCCAACAATATGAACTAAATCACAGTGTGGGATGTATTGAAAGCTGCTGCTTCAGTGAATGGTGGTGTTTTAAATAATGCAGCAATATCTCCTTGCCTAAATTGTACAATGGCACATTGCTCAGTTTCCTGTTCTAGGAAGTTGATCTTTAGAGGCCCTCTGTATGAGCAATGAAACCTTGAAAAACGTGTTATTTTGTACAACGTAGTAGAAGCAGCAGCTTATGATGACTTTGTTTTTTGTATAAAATTTTAAATTGCAACAATGTATTTTCTTGACACACAGGAACTCTTTAATCCACTGACACCAGAGAAATTCAGTCAGGCTTTTCCATTAACTACTCCAGAAACTGGGTTTCCTCTTTGGAAAGCCGTCCTATTCCCACACTGAACCGACTTCCTAGGCCAGAGAAACAGCCATTTATCAGATCCGAACATGGGTAGACATTCCAGTGAAACAGAAATATTTGGAACAATTCAAGGCTGTCTCTGTATTTTTTATTTACTGGGAAGGAAGGTCTGAGCGCTTGAGTAGGAGGCGTTTGGGTGGATGGCTGTTCTGAACATGTTGGACTCAGCTGTGCTCCCGGGGAGATGTCAGCTCCGCAGCGTGTGAAACCAGCTCCTCAGAACAACAAATAGAAGTTACCATTTTGCAAACGGGAACATCGCTCCGACACGACGCCTCCCCTCAGCACCATAAATGCGCTGACAGATTGGTTGGGGGAAGAGAGAGACAGAGATAATAATGAAGAGCTATATTGCTACCTTCTACAGGAAGGGACCATGGGATGCTCTCTAAGGATCTGCTCTTGGAAATGACCCAGCAGTCTCATCCTTAAGAGGAAAATGTCTTTTCACCTCCTTTCGCTGTATTCTCTGGACACATTATGAATCAGGTTGCAAAGTCTTTACAGCAGAAATTGTTATTTGCTAAATATTGTACTGCACCCCGCACACAGAGGACTGAATGTGAAAGGTCTCGGGGTGTTTCCGAAAGGGTAAAGACCGTTTATCTCAAAGGAAATTACATTATCTCACTGAACATGTCCCCTGCCATAATGTCGTTCTGGTGCCTTACTCTCTGTCCACTCCGAGTCCCTTTAGATATGGGCTAACAAAAATTACCCCATGTACACCCCAAATACAGGGACGGAGCATATTATATTATCTCCTTTGACTTTCCTCTGCTTCCTACAGCGTTTTGATTGTTCATACTCCCTCAAGCAATCACAACCAGAATGACCAACATCTTCCAAATGTCAAGACAACGCACAACTCTGCCTTAACTCCAGTGCTGCTTAGGGATCAGGCTGAATGATGCAGTTGAGCTCTAAAAGACTTTGCTTCTCAGGAAGAAAGCAAAATACGGGAACAATTAAGACATTCACAATTGTATTTCTCCTATTGTTATGCTTGTACAGTATTGAAAAACATTCAATAGTGTTAGGCTAAGAAAGTATGTATCTATTAAATTTTTCTTTTAATTACATGAAAATGGGTGGTTCCATTGCCTTAATCCTCATCTATGTCGAGCTGTATTTTAGATCTCTTAAATGCAAGGAAGTATTATGCCAGAAAATAGATTTACCAAACTGGGATTTCCAGATACTGCTCCACTATAATTCCCAGTAACTGAGGATTAATCATGATTAATAATCTATCATTCCTGTGGTTTTGGGTTTTTTAAAAAGAGGGAGGGAATTATTGAGAAACTGTACTTTCTCGTGCATACTTCAATAATTGCACAACAGAAAAACTCTATGGAATCCATTATTCTGCTGGTAACGATCTAGATTTCCTTAACATTGCACACGAGCAGGAATTGTTGCCATCTGATGCATGTTCCATGGCCTGTGCAAAATGAGTTGGTGGGTGCAAGCCAATTCATAATGGATGTGTGCCCATATCACAAAAAAACACCATTATAATTGGTACCCTCAGGAAAAATGCCAAGGTCTGAGTGTAAACAGAGCACTTTCTGTCCCAAGAGTCAGCTCTTCCATGGTCAGACTTGAAGCCCAATAGAAAGAGCAATGTTGCACTGCATCTGCTGCCTCTGTAAAGGGCTTCACTCTCCTGAGGCAGCAGTTGGCATCTCATGTCCCCTTTAAAATAAGGAGAAAATTCACTCTTAAGGGACACACTCATTGTGCATCTCCCCCCCGCTATCATTAACGTCATCATAGAGGTTGTGCAAGTATAAAATGAAACAGAGCCAGTCATTGTTACAGTATATACTTTGTCTTATTTCTAGGTATATCCAGAAAGAAAAAAAAAAATCTATTGTCATTAAATAAAGTGTCTATTCATCAACCCCCATTTGAAATCTAAGAAATCTACAAATCAGAAAATGTCAACAGACATTGACTTACCATCTCCTAGAGCTTTCCAGTGGTGAGCCACCATTCTCTGTGTATTGAAGAGCAACCATGGACTTCCAAGAGGCAAATTCACAGGCCACTAAAGTATCTTGCTTAGAAAATGAAAAGCAAAAAAAAGGAGGTGTCTCATGGACATTCTGTTGATGGCCTGCCTGGGCAGAGCAGTTTAAGTGAAAAGTAATATTGGAAAAATCTGCTTTCTTATTAGAGAATCTTTCAACTGAAACAATCATTCACATGCTTGTGGCACAATATATCAAAATGACCATGGTAAAAAGAGAGAGA